TTGGTCTTTGCGGTCCTTATTTAAGCTGATCTGCACCCTCAGTTCCCTGGCTCAGCAGTGCCAGCGGCTCTGCTGTGCAGTCTGTCAGCTGTCTGCTGGGCTCCGCTCAGGTACTGCTGGGCTGCGCAGCTTCCCAGGTCTTCTGGTCAGGCTTTCCGGTTGGGTGGGGCTGGGAGCTTCACCCAGCAGTGACTGGGGGCTAGAACTCAGCTCCTCGTCATGAGTGAGGACAGACCAGGCTTCAGGGCCCAAAGATTTTGTTTGAAGACCCACACTGGACCGACTTGGGCCACTGAGTTCCCAAGTCAGATGGTACCAATGACCTGACTCTGCAGATGAAGTACAGAGGCTGGCTGGGGCTCCTGCTTGGGCTCTGCAGGTAGGAAGTTGGTTTGCCAAGATCACAGTGCTGGCCTCTCCCCACATCTCTGTCATGATGAAATTCTCAGTAATCAAGCCCTTTTGATTCCTCTGCAGTCTTCCTGGGGTAAGACCAGAGTGGGTCTCGCGAGAAAGACCTCAGGCACAACAATTTCCCAGCAGTTATTTTCCCTTTTTAAGTTCTAGCTCATAAACTTTTAAGGAGCTCAGATCTCCTCCAGCAGACACCAACAGAGATGCCTTGCTGATCACTGAGATCCTTTCCAGATTTAAAATTCCAAAATGCTACAAATACACCAATTATTCACCTTCCATTAAAGGCATTGATAATTCTGTCAAATGACATCCAAACCCCTCAAAATCAGACAGAAAAAAAATGCTGTAGTACAACAGCATTAACTTAGATTAAGCTCAAAAGGATAGGGTGGCCTATTATTAAGAGCGACAGAAAAAAAAAATCCTTGAAATTTGAGCAGGCACTTTAAAATATGTGTTTTTATTACTGTAATCTTTAGGTATATTTTTAGAGGCAGCCATTAGCCCTCCTGCTGTTAATGGATTGTCAGCATTTCCATTAGAAGCCCACTTTCAAAGAATCTACAACTTGTCTACTATAGTTTGACTCTAACTCATAACTGAATATTCTGCCTAAGGGGATGAAATGATTTGAATCCTTAATGATAAACTGTAGGGTCACACTTCATACAATGCAATATCCGTGCAAAACAAGTCTGGGTCTTGATTTGCAAACTCTCTGATCTGTTGTTTCTGGTGCATTTTGAAGGGTGGTTCCCCTGCAAAGGAGCTGAATTGAATCTGGTCAGGAGACAGTTTATAATAAGCTTCCTGGGAAGAAAAGCACTTTAGAACTATAACAAATAATGAAGACCATGGCATAGCATTTTCAAAGAGAAATGGTATTTATATTCAGTCTTTTGCTGTATTAAGAGGTTTTCATTTATAAAGTTTTCTCCCAAGAAAATAATCCCATTTGTAGTCCTGTCCACATGACGGTAATTTTCTGTTTCCTCTCCTACAACGTTTTCCTTTTTAAGAAGTTCTTAATATCTGGTGAGGCAGTAAATGACTTGACAAATGTTTCTCTCGAAACATCCCACCCTCGCCTTCTCCCCCAGAGTCCAAAAGTCTGTTCTGTACATCTGTGTCTCTTTTTCTGTTTTGCATATAGGGTTATCATTACCATCTTTCTAAATTCCATATATANCCAAAGAGTATTTTTACATGTATAAGAAATGTCAAATTTACTTCAAAATGTTTTCTCTTGTAGTTGATGAGGGCCCTAGTCCTCCAGAGCAGTTTACAGCTGTCAAATTGTCTGATTCCAGGTAAGCTTGGGTTGAACTATAATTAATACATTGTAATACAAGATGGTACGTTATAATAGGATATATCCTTTAAAAGTGGTGTTTTTCAGATAACCTGCCCAGGTTGGGTACATGAGAAAAGTGCTTGGGCCTGGTGCACTGGGAAGACCCAGAGGGATCGGGTGGAGAGGGAGGTGGGAGGGGGGATGGGGATGGGGAACACATGTAAATCCATGACTGATTCATGTCAATGTATGACAAAGACTACTACAATATTGTAAAGTAGTTAGCCTCCAACTAATAAAAATAAATGAAAAACAACAACAATAAAACAAAAATGGGAAGAAGACTTAAATAGACATTTCTCCATAAAGGACATGCAGATGGTCAAGAGGCAATCACTAATAATTAAATAAATGCAAATCAAAACTAAAATAAGGTAGTACTTCCCACCAGTCAGAATGGCCATCATTAAAAAGTCTACAAATAACAAACACTGAAAGAGGTGTGGAGAAAAAGGAACCCTCTTACACTGTTGGTGGGAATTTAAGTTGGTGCAGCCACTGTGGAAAATAGTTTGGAGTTTCCTCAGAAAATTAAGACTTACCATATATGGTCCAGCAATCCCACTCCTGGGCATATATCCAGACAAAACTATAATTCAAAAAGATATGCACCCTAGTGTTCCTAGCAGCACTATTCACAATCGCCAAGTCATGGAAACAATGTAAATGTCCATCAAAATAAGAATGGATAAAGAAGGTATGGTATATATATACACAATAAAATACTACTCAGCCATAAACAAAAATGAAATAACACCATTTTCAGAGACATGAATGGATTTAGCAATTATCATACTAAGTGAAGTCAGAAAGACAACTACCATATGATATCACTTATGTGTGGAATCTAAAATATGACACAAATGAAGCTATCCATGAAACAGAAACAGAATCACAGACACAAAGAACAGATCAATGGTTTCCAAGCAGGGAGGGGGTTGAGGGAGGGATAGAGTGGGAGGTTGGGGTTAGCTGATGTAAGCTTTTATGCATAAAATGGATAAACATATTCTACTGTATATAGCACAGAGAACAATACTCCTTATCCTAAGATAAACCATAATGAAAAAGTATAAAAATGTGTGTGTGTATATATAACTGAATTACTTTCCTGTACTGCAGAAATCAACACAATGTTGTAAATCAACTATACATCAATTTTTTAAAACAAAGTCTTCCATAGAACCCTCTTTATTAACTTTGCTGATAATACTGGTCATTTACTCCAGAAGTACAGACACAATAGAAATACCAGTGGAATCTCCACACTGTTCTCCATAGTGGCTGTACTAGTTTGCATTCCCACCAACAGTGTGAGAGGGTTCCCTTTTCTCCACACCCTCTCCAGCATTTATTGTTTGTAGACTTTTTGATAGCAGCCATTCTGACCGGTATAAGATGGTACCTCACTGTGGTTTTGATTTGTATCTCTCTGATAATGAGTGATGTTGAGCATCTTTTCATGTGTTTGTTAGCCATCTGTAAGTCTTCTTTGGAGAAATGTCTGTTTAGTTCTTTGGCCCATTTTTTGATTGGGTCATTTATTTTTCTGGTATTGAGCTGCATGAGCTGCTTGTATATTTTTGATATTAATTCTTTGTCAGTTGCTTCATTTGCCATTATTTTCTCCCATTCTGAAGGCTGTCTTTTCATCTTGCTTATAGTTTCCTTCATTGTGCAAACACGTTTAAGTTTCATTAGGTCCCATTTGTTTATTTTTGCTTTTATTTCCATTTCTCTGGGAGGTGGGTCATAAAGGATCCTGCTGTGATTTATGTCAGAGTGTGTTTTGCCTATGTTTTCCTCTAGATTTTATAGTTTCTGGTCTTACATTTAGATCTTTACTCCTTTTTTTTAGATCTTTAATTGAAAGAGACATACGTACTCCAGTGTTCATAACAGCACTATTTACAGTAGCTAGGACATGGAAGCAATTGGATGTCCATCGGCAGATGAATGGATAAGAAAGCTGTGGTACATATACACAATGGAATATTACTCAGCTATTAAAAAGAACACATTTGAATCAGTTCTAATGAGGTGGATGAAACTGGAGCCTATTATACAGAGTGAAGTAAGTCAGAAAAAAAATCCCACCAATACGGTATATTAATGCATGTATATGGAATTTAGAAAGATGGTAATGATGACCCTATATGTGAGACAGCAAAAGAGACACAGATATAAAGAACAGACTTTTGGACCATGTGGGAGAAGGCGAGGGTGGGATGAGTTGAGAGAATAGCACTGAAACATGCATATTACCATATGTGAAATAGATCACCAGTCCAAGTTCAATGCATGAAACAGGGCACTCAAAGCCGGTGCACTGGGACAACCCTGAGGGAGGGGATGGGGAGGGAGGAGGGAGGGGGGACACATGGACACCCATGGCTGATTCATGTCAATGTATGGCAAAAACCACTACAATATTGTGAAGTAACTAGCCTCCAATTAAAATTAATTAATTAATTTTTAAAAATAATAATAGAAATGAAGGGGGAAAAAAGAAATACCAGTGGAATTCAAGGTAGTTTCCAGAATTTTCTTTTCTCTGTCTGTAATTTTCACTCAGAATTCTATATAGAATTTAGGCAAGAGATCCTGTCTGCATTTTCTGTCTCAGTTTTAAGATTCAGATCATGGCCTCCATCCCCTAAGACTTTTATGCCTTATCCCAGCACATATATATCATGGAAAAAACAGGGGCAAATCAGGGCATGATGAGTACAAAGTCTCACCTCTTCTCTCTTCCAACCAATGAAAGAGGTGTTCCTGATCACAAAAGGTGATCAAGGCAGTTACATTTCTTCTGCATCCTCCTCCTCTGGTTGATCCAAGAGGGATTAGCCTTGTTTTATAACAGAAGATCCATGATGCCACTGATCTACTTCACCCTTACCCATAAGCTGTGCATCCTCCAACTGGGAGATTTGGATGAGCTATGAAACCAACCTTTGCAGTAATAGACTTTCAGTGACTACCAAATAACTTCAAACAGGAAATAGAAATAGAGAACAGAATGGCTTTGGGCACTCCTGGGTGCCATATAGAAAGGAAAAGCAGAAACTAAATAAAGAAGTGCATAGACTTGAAGTCATTTGGGCTAATACCCAAAGTGGAGATCACATATTGGACTGAGATAAGGGACACTCTTGAGTAGTTCTTTGGAAAGGAGGATAAACTGAAAACACCCATTATTGTAGGAAGAAGTGAAATAATTACATACCCATGCTCCATCAGGCCCAAACAGTTCTAGGAAGTTGCCAATGAATTCCCTCGATTTCTCCTCCCACTTCTGAATTAGATCATGACTCTTTTCTTCCACTCTGTTCACAAATTCCTTTGATCTTTCTTCCACGTTTTTGACCTTCTCTTTCATCTTGTCTACCTGGTTTTGGAAGCGGTACTTCTTCTCCTGGTCAAAAATTAAAGGAGAAAGAAAGGGATTTACCCAAAAGGGCTGGGGAGAAATTAGTCATTCACAGAATGGTCAGATTTTATTTCAACTTGTGCAGGTTCTTAACTTGAAGAGTCAGGATGCTAGTTTCCAAAGGCTGGATTGATTGGAAGGCCCATCTCTAGTAAGAAAAGTCACTTCTGATTAGTTGATTTGAATGGGTACAGTGAAGTACAAGTGGTTGTAATGTTCTCTTCCTTGTAAATAGAGTTAAATTCACTTACACAAGAGAAGAACCAAAAGTATCCATTTGCTCTTTATTTTGGATAGATACTAGGTAAATACATCCCCTTGGTTCTCCTGACACTTAGACAAAAATATGAATTGTACATAGAATGGCTACTCAGAAACAGCCTGAGTTCTCTATTTTACTGGGACATTGTTAAAACCAATATTGGTTGAAATAAGTGAGACAATGGCTGGGCCTAAGCACCTATATGTTATACTAAAATTGTCACTGTCATGATATTTCCCATTAATCTAATGGAACCACATCAGTTTCCTTGGCAATGAAGAAAATTTTTGTTCTGATAGCTTCTCTGGACCGGGATTTTGTTCATAGCCTTGATGCAGCATTGCTATACCTATGTGCCTAGAAGGCATCAGATATTGGGCAACTCACATGCCATCTCTAAACCTCAGTTTTCTCAGCTGTAAAATAGGGATAATTATTGTCCCTACCCTATAGGGTTGCTGTAACAGTTAGATCATATAATGCATGTAAAGTACTTGGCACAATGTCTGGCATTTAGTAAAAGCTTAGTGTGTATTGGCTATTAGATTACGTGTAAGCAACAGAGGCATTTAATCATGTTACCTGGTGAAAGTGGAATCAAAACCATGAAGATAACATGAAACGAAGGCTCTTTTCCTCCATGAAACCATAATACATTTCCTCCCGAAAGAGTAATAAGATTTCTCACCTTTCTTCACTATATGGAATTGAAGTCCATTTCATATTTCAGAATTTTTGGAACCACATACAGTATTACAAAACCGGGTCGGGAGTCCCTGATCTAGACTTCACAAGCATTGCTGCAGCCGCAGGGTGAGGTGTGAGCCATCGCGCTGGCGGCCAGCGGTATATAATACACGGTGACTCCACTGCTCTCAGGAGCTGCCTGAAACACTAGACTGGGCTCTGGACCAGGAGTCACAAGGCTGGGAGGCTGCTACTGCTTCTGCCTCTACTTTGCCTGAGGGACTTGAGCCAGGTCCCACCGAACTCAACTTTCCTCATTTTTCTATTGACAAATTCAAGGACTTGGGCTGGTGACTGACCCTCGTCAGGTTCCTGCTACCCGAGGTTCCATGATTCATCTACACACTCATCCAACACACGTGATGTACTCTGCACCATAGCGCAGCCTGTGGTCACAGAAAGGCAACGGGCACATCCACACTGACTACACGGTTCCCTGAGCTAAGTGGCTTATCTACAGGCCGATGAAAGAGCGTGAGCAATAACTTTTAGAAATGGCTCGACATGCCTGGATGGGTGACTGAATTCAATTTAAAAGAATAGGCAGTTTAATTTATTGAAATAACCAGGGCTTTATGCTCTGTAAGATACCAACTAATCACTTTGACTGAATTCTTTTCAGCCACTTGTTCTGTTTGCCACTTGAACCTGACATTTTCCATTTTGTTACCCAGTCTGTACGAAGCCACAGAGCCTGGACTCGAAACACTTCCTGCCTCCTGAGGACAACTGATCATCACTAACACGATTACTGAATGAACCCTGCCTTATTCGGAGACACCGATGATTGGTCTGTGTAAGCTGATGGATAACTGTGGCTGCATATAATTGTAAATATCTAGTTTTGTAGAAAAATCACCGTATCTATTTTTGGGTGTGTGTGTGTGGAAATTCTGTATGTGTGGAGAGCTCTTATTTTGCTCACCTTGATCAGCTCCTTGGAGTTCAGGCAAACATGGTCATCTAGACTCACTAGCATCACCTCTAGCAACTGGGCTGCCCTCTTGGCTTTTTAAGAGCTAGTTTTGCTTGTTTAAAGATTGTTTTAACAGTTGCTCTATTATTAAACTAACAGCAGCTCTTTGGGAACAATATAGCAGAAATACAAAAGGAAGCCAAAGACTTCGGGCTTTTTTTAAGTGGCTGTAATTTCTCTGGACCAAAAAGAAAAAGCAGCTGTTAAAGTTTCTAATGAGCATCTGTAAGGCCTTAATAAAATGAAAATTGTAAACAGTTAAAACAAGAAAGCGTTTTCTTTGGGTTTAGCTTCTTAGAGCCTCTGTGCTCCTTCCTTCCCTTGGAGCAGAAGACAACTCTTGCCTTTCATGAGGGCAGATCTCTCAGAAACCCTTCACCCAAGTCTGAGAACCCTAATGGGGGAGGTTGGGGTGCAGAGAGGGAGGTGAGGCAGCTCCTTCAAAAAAACGTGATGTTCACTCACTACCTGTATGCCTTGGTCAAATTATGTTACCCATTTAGACACTGGTTTCTCCATCTATAAAATGGAGATAATAATACAGCATTGGGCTGTTATGTGGACTGAACGAGACAATAAATGTCAAACATCAAGAACATTGAGTGGTGTAAAGTAAGTGATTTGTAAACAGTGCCAGCAGTAGCGTGACGCGCTGGTCCTCAGGGCTGTGGGGTGGCACGCTTACATTGATAAAGCTGACATTCAGTTCCTTTGCTGTGTACCCTCTCTGGAGGTTGCGTCGGGCATAAACATCATAGTCACGGACAATCCTGGTGATGATGTCTGACGTTGAGATGCCTTCTGTTCTCTGTGTTGGAACAAACATCCCTGTTCGAACAGAAAAGACAGGATGAAGAAAAAACAACTAAGATGATCCCAGGTGACCCATTTTCTTGAATGACTCTCCTGTCCAGGACAAAGTGGCAGCTCCTAGGTCAGGGTGGCTTTCACATCTGGCCCCAGCCGACTCTGCCGGGCTCAATTCCAGGCACTCCCTGCCTGCCACAGACACTGCGTGTTTGTCATACTGGACCTGTTCCCTGGATGCACCAGGCACTCACCTGGATCTCGGCATTTGCTCATTTCAAGCCCTTCTTTCCTGCCCCGGACCCCCCTTCCCTGCCCACAGAAGCTGCAGAGTAGCTCCTCCTCGTACAGGGTCCAGTCTTAAGGCTCTGCCTCTGGGAAGTCTTTCCTGACGTCACCAGGCAGAATCCACAGCCATTAAAATATAAATTTGACTGCCATTAACAAAAGCATTTTCAGTATCCATTTCCTTGTGAAGAGGGAGCACTCTGAAAGCACAGGTAGTGTCTTGATCATCTTTATGTGTCCAGCACCCAGTTCAGTGCCCCAGTGTCTAGCACATGGAAAGTTCTCAATACATGCAAATTAAATGAGTAAGTGAATGTAGCATAGCAATTGAGTCAAAGAATTTGTGAGATCACAGCAACTCCCCTTCTTCCCCAGGGAGTTCTGCATCACGTTATAGCAAAGGAAAAGAAGAAGGGTGCAGTCTTTTTATTGTCTCTGGTCTAAAGACATGCCCAGGGCTTGCTCAATGATTTTACCCTTCTAAGAGCAATCTACTCTCAATGGTGGTTTCACCACACAAAGGCCTTTTCATCTATACACTACTGGGACTGAGAAGAAAGAAACAAACACAGAGGATGCCAAGTTCTCATAGAACTTCCTTAAAGTCCTCAAAGATATATTTGAGTGTACCAATACAAGGCTGTAAAGAAGTCACAAGTGTTATCAAAGACAAGAATCTGGTGAAATCGAAGATGACATAAACAGATGAAAGATATACCTCTTTTTGAATAGGAAGAACCAATACTGTCAAAATGCTTATACTACCTGACACACTCTACAGGTTCAGTACAATCCCCATCAAAGTACAAATGGCATTTTTCATAGAACTACAAAAAAAAATATTTTAAATTTAGATGGAGACACAAAAGACTCCAAATTCTCAAAGCAATCTTGAAAAAGAAAAACGGAGCTGGAAGAATCAAACTTCCGGACTTCAGACTATACTAGAAAGCTACAGTCATCAAAACAGGATAGTTCTATCATAAAAGCAGACATATAGATTAATGGAACAGGATAGAAAACTCAGAAATAAACCCACACACCTATGGCCAATTACTCTATCACAAAGGGGGCAGACTGTACAATGGGAAAAGACATTCTTGTCAATAAATGGTGCTGGGAAAACTTGACACCTACATGTAAAAAAAATGAAATTAGAACATTCTTTAACACTGTGCAGAGATATAAACTCAAAATAAATTAAAATTCCACATCCTGCAGAGCATCTAAGCCTGTGAGCCACAACTACTGAGCCCATGCCTTAGAGTCCATGCTCTCCAACAGAGAAGCCATGGCAATAAGAAGACTGCATACCACAACTAGAGAGTAGCCCCTGCTCGCCACAACCAGAGAAAGCTTGCGCATAGCAACAAAGACCCAGTGCAGCCAAAAATAAAACTTTTAAAATATTTTTTAAATGGGCAGAAGATCTAAATAGACATTTCTCCAAAGACACAACAGATGGTCAAGAGGCACATGAAAAAAGATGCTCAACATCACTAATTATTAGAAAAATGCAAATCAAAAATACAATGAAATATCACTTCAGCCAGAATGGCCATCATCAAAAAATCTACAGACAGTAAATGCTAAAGAGGGTGTGGAAAAAAAGGGAATGCTCCTATACTGTGAGTGGAAATGTAAATTGGTACAGCCACTATAGAAAACAGTATGAAGTTCCCGTAAACAACTAAAAAGAAAAATACCACATGACCCAGCAATCCCACTCCTGGGCATATATCCAGAGAAAACCATGGTTAGAAAAGATACATGTACCCTAATGTTCATTGCAGCACTATTTACAATAGCCAAGACATGGAAACAGCCTAAATGTCCATCAACAGAGGAATCAATAAAGAAGATATGGTACATATATACAATAGAATATTACTCAGTCATAAAAAAGAACAAAATAATGCCATTTGCAGCAACATGAATGGACCTAGAGATTGTCACAATGAGTGAAGTAAGTCAGACACAGAAAGACAAATATCACATGATAACACTTATATGTGGAATCTAAAAAAAAAATGTTGTGTACAAATGAACTCATTTATAAAACAGAAGGAGAGTCACAGATGTAGAAAACAAACTTATGGTTACCAGGAGATGGAGGGGAGGAATAAATTGAGAGAGTGGGATTGACATATACACCCTACGTATATAAAACAGATAACTAAAAACCTGCTGTATAGCATAGGGAACTGTATTCAATACTCTTGAATGGCCTACATGGGAAAATAATCTTAAAAAGTGCAGAAATATGTGACATATAACTGATTCACTTTGCTGTACACCTGAAACTAACACAACGTGGTTAATCGACTATACTCCAATATAAAATAAATTTTAAAAAATAATTTAAAAAGACAAGAATCTGGTTCATGCTTGTACTTCTGTTGTCGACTGAAATCACATGCTGGTAATTGAAATCTTTCTATCTAATGTGATAATGGTTACTCAGTCAGAGATATCAGGCATCACACAGCATGATGGACAGAGCTTAGGGATAGGGGTGCTGGGTCCTCCGTTTCTAGACTTGAGCAAGTCATTCAAGCCTCAGGAGGCAAGCTACTAACCTCAGCCTCCAGAGTTGAGAAATGAGCTGGCCGTGCAAGATGACCTCATCTGTGCCACCTCCCTCTCCCTTAGTCCTTATGTCCAATCAATGTCTTTCTGCTCACCAACCTACTTCCCAAGTGTCTCCCTGGTTCACCTGCTTCTCTCCATCCTCCATCTAAACCAACCTAACCCCATCTTGTTCAAAGATTACAGCAAGAGCCTCAACACCAGTCTCCATAGATATCGCTTTTCTATCCCCTCAAATCCACTCTCCCACAGCCAGAGCTGCAGAACAGTCTTTCAAAATCCTGCTCAGCATCCTCATTGGCTTTGTATTTAGATTCGAACACTGTCCTTTGGATTTGGATTCGAAGCCTTGACTCTGCAGCAGCTCGCTTTCTCCCTTCCCTGTGCTCCCTCCAGTCTCCTCTCAGACCTTCCGCCTTCACTCCCTAAGCCAAGGTCTCTGTGCTACGCAGTGGCAGCGGGCATCGTTCTCCTCGTCTCCTAGGGAGCTGAGCAGTGGGCTGGCCCAGCCTTGGCCTCGCCACACTGGACTCCAGTGTCCTGCGAGCGCTGCCCGCCCCCTCACTCTGCCACAAATGTACTGTGACCCTGAGGGCAGAAACCTCTTTTAGCACGCTCGAAGACAGTGGACTCAAAACAGAAATCTAAGTAGAAGGCAGAGGACAGAAACATCTAAACGCATGGATATTAACAGCACCCAACTGATGCGACTGTGCGGGGGGCTCTGGTGGGCGAGGGGCCCCAAGCCAGGGACCCTGAGACCACACCCTCACCTCAGCGAGAGCAGCTAGGAGCTTTCCTGGGGAGGAGTACGTCCTGTCTTTCAGCAGGCAGGCATCGCACTCACGAGCCCTGCCTGCTGAAACGTTAAGAGGAGTGTCTAGTCACACACGGACTTTAGGAAATCACTCGGACACTGGTGACGTGTGCTCACCCTTTCTCTGAAGACACAGGGTGAGGTCTCTGGGGCTGAGTTACTGGAAACTGGGGTTGGGGAGAGATTTGCTTTGGCCGGTTAGGAGGTGGACCTCTGAAAGAAGCCAAGCCCTCTGCTGACATAATGAGGCACCCGGCTTCCTCCAAATCCTAATTATTGCTCTGCTAAAAATATTCAGGAATGCGCATGATCAGAGAACCTTTTTTTTATCACGCTTTTCAGAATTACGGCATTTGGTTATGGAGCTATTTTAAGAAGCAGCAAAGCTCATGTTAATGAAGGAAACTTTCGACAGTAGTAGGCAATATTAGAATGATGATGAGACACGTGGACCTTACAGTCTACTTCATTTAAACTTCATATTTTCATCTGGCTCTGCCGGAGAATTTTGACATGCCGTTCTGACAAGCAGAGCAGAGGGCTGTAAGGTTTGGTTCCCACCCGCCATGTCTCTTGGCTTCATATAAAGTGATTCTAGACTTTCAGAAGGAACATCAATGAGAGGATAAAAGCCCAATGTGGATGCTGACGTCATTTCTGAGCACCTTTCTCCCATGTCTTCTCTACCTGGACCCCAAGCAGATTTCTACTGTGCCTCTCCCTTGGTGAGGAATCAGCAAAAAGATCAATGGATAACAATAGACGGCCCTTGTGCATATGAAAAGTCACACCTAAGTCTTATGCCTGTGCTCCCAGAGCAAGTAAAATACCACCTGACTATTCAATTTGGAGATGGGAATTGTGGTGGACTAAAAGTGGGCATGACCCCTAACCCTGGGCGTCTGAGCTGGCCTTCGTGACTTTCTTATAACAAATGGAACGTGGCATAAGTGATGCTGAGTGACTTCAAAGGCTAGCTCAGAAGAAGATTTGCATCTTCCGTTGAAGGTATTTCCTCTCCAGATGCGTCCGCATCTGGGAGCCAAGCCACCATGCTGTGAGGGGCCCACACATGGCAAGGCCACCTGGAGGTGTTCCAGTGTTAACCCCAACTGAGCTCCCTGTCGACAAGCAGCATTCACTGCCAGTCACTTAAGCATACCACCAGGGACCTCCCTGATAGCTCAGGTGGTGAAGAATCCACCCGCAATGCAGGAGACCCCAGTTCGATTCCTGGGTCAGCAAGATCCCCTGGAGAAGAGATAGGCTACCCACTCCAGTATTCTTGGGCTTCCGTTGTGGCTCAGCTGGTAGAGAATCCCCAGGG